TATATATGAATAACATCTCTCTCTCTCTCTCTCTCTCTCTCTCTCTCTCTCTCTCTCACACACACACACACACACACACACACACACACACACACACACACCAGACTTTGTCTGGGTACCACTCAGTGAGGGCTGCTGCTACTGGCTTCAGCCACCCTAGACACAGAAACTTGATGACAAACGTCAGTTGGGTTCAGGTACCTGTCCTTAGTAACATCCAGAGGAATTTCTTTACTTAAAACTTTGTAAAGACATTAAAGGAGGTGATTTACATGGGAAAATACATTCATTTTATACACTAGTTAAGGAGTTAACTTAAACCTAGATATATACCCAGCCAAAAATAAATACTATATAGGTGCAAAGCCTGGTATAGTTCTGATGTTAGTTCCTAGTGTCTCCTGGAAAAGCTTTAGAGAGATGAAAGCGAACGTCTTCCTCTTCCGTTTTTCTATTTCCTGTCTCTTTGCCAGTTACTACATGTCTCTGTTCCCCATTCATCCATAAGTAGCTGTTTTATTTTAGCTTCATTATGTTTGTGTTAAGCCTGGCATAGCAATTACATGGAAGTCTCAGTCTCTTCAAGTCCTTCAACGTTCTGCTTATAAACCCTAAAGTGATCATCTACTACAGTCCAGGAAACACTGGGAAAGGAGGTTAAGAACTGGATGTTGCTGATAGATACAGTAAAGTGCAGCTTGCCTCCAATGCCCACGTACTATGTGGAATGGCTTGCTGGTGTGGTGTGGGGTCACCTTCATCTTTTGCTGTCCTGCTGCAGAGGGAGAAAGGATTTTAATGACCACATGGGCTGTTAGTGGGCAAAAATAAGTCCAAGCTTACTGCTATCTCAAAAAGTTTCTACCCTCTCTTGGAAGATCTAGATAGAATATTTTTAATAAGGATGTGTTCTGAGAGCTTTATAAATCTCTACTATGCCACATAATCTCCCTTACAAATATAGTAACATTTAATGAGAGTTAGTGCAAATAACAGTGAGGAGAAGAAAACAAATTGGGCAAAGTGGACAGCGTTGGGTGACCAGCTAAGCTCATTCACTCTCAAAGTCACTAGCTCCTACACACCAAGCTCACATTATACATAATGCAGATTTATGCCTCAGAGCATTACAGATTACTGAATGCCATGGAACTCTGAGTTTGTTCTCAAATAGAATCAAACCATCAATGCTAAGTCAATGGTCAAAACAAAAATAACTATTGTAATCTATAGTTACGTCATGAATTGTACTTTAGCAGCTGTTTTGTTTTTTCCTATAGAACCATGTTTTGGTCACAATTCTTTTCAAATCAACTTTGTTAATTACGATAAAAAAAATCTTCCTTTATTCAAACCATCAATTCAAATGGGCATACAGACAGACAGAGTCTCTCAGTTAGGAATGGCTCTTACTTGGGGTCAGTTAGCAATGCTAAGTAAGGCAAGAAGGGTAAGATTTTAAAATTATGAACATATTTTCTTTAAAAAATTATAAGACTTCACTCATTAATTAAATAATTTGAAATATTTTGTGGAAAACAAAATATTATGTAGAGTTACTGTGATGATTTAAAATATGTTTCTTCCAGTTCTATTTTTTGCTTTGAATTCTTTTTAAATTTTATTTGAATAATTGGTGTATGTATTTCTAGTGGACTGCCTCTTTTGTGGAACAAACTAGAAGTGTAGAGGAATTAAAAATTAATGAGATACCCAAAGCTTTTTAGTTTTCATGATTCAATTTATGCAGTATTTAGCATCCAATAAAATATTTAATATTTTATATGTAATATGTAATGTTCAATAATACTAATTCAACATTCCTTAATAAACAATCTTATAGCTTCTCTAGGAAAAGATTATTTCATTTCATATTATATGCCAAATATTTCTATAACATATAAAAGTGGCTAAGAAAAAGGAAAATATCAGTGGCATTCAAAATAGCATCTTCTCATATTTAGTCCCAGTGTAACTAACTGCTGTATCTATACCACATCACAATCACAATGCTAATCAATAGTATGGCAATCAATATACCAATATATACCATATATATCAATGTATCAATCCTTATAAGACTCTCTCTAACATGCTGGGGGGAAAGCTAAATAGCAACAATATAAATAAACATGGATAAGACAATGACCAACCGTCTCCTTGAGGAATCAAAGCAATTTCATGCACTTATTAGATGAACTTTCAGACTGAAGTTCTACTAGAGAACATAAATGCTTAAAAGTAAACAATACAGGGTGGCTATCTGAAATCACGGCACATGCCTCATGGAAATTTTCTTATAAACTCTTAGCATTTGGAAAGTGTTTTTCTTCTTCCTTTTAATGGTAGAGAAAGCTCAGATAAGAACACTTAATCAAAAACATTATTTGAGCCCTTCTAGAGTCTTCCAAAGTGGAGAGTATTAAATATTGCAACCTTCCTTCATAATGCTTATGCTTACCTAAAAAGTAGATCATTTACTTTACACACTCTCTCGCTTGAAATAAAGAAAACAAACCTGCTAATAACCAAAGCAGTGTATGTAAAATTTCAAAGACAGAATATTTAAATACTGCCAATGTATTCCATTTTGTGATAACACTAATATAGGAAGAACCCCTTTTTTATCTTTGAAAACGATAATCACTGTATTTATTGAGGTTTAAAAAATAAAGCTTGAAAAGAATCTGATATCTTTTAATATTAACGAAAACTAATGATTTTTCTAAAGTGATGGAAAACCTGCTTGGAAATTAAGACTTGCCCTTTCAGATGCAACCAAGAAGCAAAGAGGAACCAAATAGGGCATGATTCTTGGATAATTTACTTTTTCAAAAATATTCACTTGCAAGGTGACGACATAGTTCATTGTGCAAACTGAGACACTTTGAAGAGTAAAAAGAGATGCTATTAATAATTAGACTGGGACAAAAGGCATTAACCAGGGCTATCTCCATAAAACCAGAACCTATGGTACCCTAGGTCACCATGGGACATGAGGGTGTAAGCTTTTTTTATGACTTCCTCCTCTTTTCTTGGCCTTCTCTCCCATAATCAAATGTGGCTAACTGAACAGAGTGGTGAGTTTTCAGGGCAGCCTTTCTGGGAAAGCAGAGAAACATGGATCTAGAAATAGGATCACTGCAGCTAAAAAACAGAATATTTGAGATATTTAAGCCAAAGCCCAATGTTGTTTTCTGTCTTATCTGTTTTAATTTCTTATGCCTTAGTTCTTTCAGGTTTATGAACTGTTAGTCTTTATGGATGATACATTTTAAGAAAGGAAAAAGCAAATCTTCAAGCTAAACCTCTGCAGATTGGCCAAGTTCTTTTAAATTCTATCATTTCCTGTTAACATCTCTGAACTCTTATGCTATGTTATTTATTGGAAGAACACAAACAGCTTAACCTGTACAGATGGGATGCAGAGAGGAAAGGGGAAGAAAGGAAAATGGTAAACCACCAACACAGAAACAGTGTGACTGGCATGCTAATTAGCCCACTGCAGATAAGAATTAGAGTACTGCACAGTACACAGAGATGCCTCAATGTAGGGGGGCTACTATGTTGTTCACACTGCAACACTTCATGTTTTGGGCTCAATTGTGATTTCAATGCCTTTGTTATATTTTCTTATCACTAAGATGGTCATCAGAAAGCTAAACAAAAAGTGTTACACAGCCCAAGTTGTTCACATGGCTGGATCTACTTAAAAGCACAACCTGTGAAAGTTCTGTTCTTGAACTGAAAGAAAATCATTTGTGGTTCTCTTCCAATGCCTTCCTTCATTTTTCATTCAAAGCATTAGAATAACTGATCCATATACATAAATATAAGAAGAATGTTATGTATTCTTTCTCCCTCGATAAGTACACAGGAGTTTTTATTTTGTTTTGATTGATTGATTTTTTACTATTTCATAGTTTGAAAGGCCTACACTCTAAGTTGGTTGGAACAGGGAGCTAGTTCTGAAGGAGATATCAACAGGGCAACCAAACAGGTACCAGCATCTAAGACACTCATCACTTGGACACCTGGCTCTGTGGAGAGCTGAATTTCCAAGCACAGACTGCCCATCTGCCACCACCAGCTCCCGACGTGATCCAAGAATGGCTAAGGTCTCCTGGCCCTTCAGGTGCTGTGCTGTACCATGCCAACAAGAGACAAGTGGATGTGTACAGGGAGTAAGGTGCAGGCAGGAAACGCAGTCGTCTCCTTCCCTCCGTCCCATGCATTTTTAGGGGGAGAAAACTGGTGCTACTGAGGAGGAATAAAAAAACTTACATAGTGCCATCATTTGTGGCTCTCTTAGCTCTAATTTTCATTTAAACTTAATTTTTCTCCTTACGGGTCTATTGATGAAAAAAAGTGGAAAAATGTTTCTCTAGTCAATCATCCCCTCTCCGTTTTTTATTAAGCTAAAATAAAGCCAGTTACTGAGGGGGCACAAGGTAGGGGGTGTGTGTGTGTGTGTGTGTGAGAGAGAGAGAGAGAGAGAAAGAAAGAGAGAAGGAAGAGGGGAAAGAGGAGTGGGGGAAAGGGAGGGAGGAAGTGGTGGCTACGGATAAATGAGGAAATTGAGGAGTGGGAAGCAGATCCTAAACCATGGCCCCTCTTGATCTGTATGCTGTCCTGAAAAAGCTGCTGGGTACTCTTGCTGTTTGGTTCAGATGAATAGAAATGTGTTTCCGCAGATTTTGCCTCCTGTTGTTCTTATCCAATAAGGGTTGCTTACATTCTAGCTTCCTGACCTGACACCTGAGATCAGCCTGTTGTCTGGCCCTGCCCCCTACATACATCCACTTATGCTCTTAGAGTGAAGCTTCCCTCAGAGGACTCAGCCTTGAGCCCAGATAGCTGGATTTGCCGGAAACCCAGCTGATTTCCTTTGTTCTTGACCTTCTTAAGACATCCAAAGTGAAGGCCCTGTGTGGTACTGATGAATCTCGCTTCTTTCAGATCTCAGGTGGGCTGTGCTACTTCCTGATTGTGGTTTCATCCCAAAGGCTGAGAATACTGCCTGCCACAAGACCCATTTCCCAAAAATGCTTTTAAACACCTCTTGGACTGAAGTCACTATATGCAATATTTACAGGGAAATAGCTACTGCAGTTTCTTTGGGAAGAGGCCAAGGAAAATAGAGAAAAATGTTTCCAGTCCAGAGACTAAATTGTCCTGGCCTGGAAGAGATACAGGATCAAGTCTAATTCCAATTTTTGCCCAGGAAACTGGCAGGCAGTTGAGCCCTTTGCTTCCCCTTGCACAATCCTATGAAAGGCACACTAAAGCCAGCGATTCCTGTCGTGGTAACCCAGGGAGTTGTTCCAGCCATGGGCCCATTCAGCTGAGCCACACATTCACAAACCACCTCACATTTAAACAGTACATTATTTCTATATGAGGGCATGCACAAACACCAAGATACACTGACAAGAGTCAACAAAGACAGAGTCCATCATACAGCTGATGTGTCCCATTACCAAATCATACAGTATCCCAGAGAACTAGGAAATAACTCTATTAGCCCTGTCATATTTTGAATACTATGATTATATTTCATGGTTTTCTATATATGTGCAAAAATGTTAATTTGTTAAATGTAGATATTTCAGATCTACCACGTTGTTAAACTCTGCTTTGGATTTTTTTTCAGTTATTAATACACCAGAACATCCAAGTAAGAGAACTGGCTCCTTAGGTGACACCAGGGAATATGTTCCATAGGAATTGACTTGCTATTGTCAGGGTAATACTCAAAGACAAAAATGATAGGTCAACGGACCTTGTAATAATTTTTTATATCATAGGGGATGCATAGAGCGTAGGCTGAACAATTATTACTTAACTGATTATTATTTATTTCATATCAAAGAATAAGTATTTTAGCCTGTTATGCAACACATGATAGAGATGGTGAAGTTTTTCCTTCCGTACGGATATGGCAAATAATCTTAGAGCTTTTATACTTTCTTCATTACAGGAATCTTACAAGTTATATAAAAACAGAAAGAGAAAAACACAAATATTTTCAATGATATGAAATCCCAGTTAAAGATAAGATAATATTTTAAGAATATTTTTAAATTCTGGAAAGAATGGAGTGTCTAAGTATCTACCTTAATGTGTATGGCACACATAGAGCATATGTTCAACTAAATTACCAAACTGAATAAGCAAAAATTGGAAAGGCAAGGACCACAGATACTCTGCTACAAAGCTAACTTACCTCCTAAGCAAGTGAGGAAGAACATGAAGGTTCCAAGCATTCCTACACAAGGGCCACATAACATAGGGAAGAGCCTGATGAACCCATAAAATAAATAATGAGAGCAAGAATATCATCCTACTGCAGCTGTAATACTACTACTTGTTCTTAAGTTGTGAACCTACTAACCACACATACCTGCATTACCACTCCCCTCACCAAGAATTACTCCAGAAAGAAAAAAACAAGTTACAGGACTCGAGAAGAGCAAAGGAAAAGGTAGTGGTTTATATAAGGCATCACACAGAGCCATTTTTAAAAGGCTCTGAACCTCAGACAAACGAACAATAACTTCACTAAACTACTATATAATCAAATGTAAATAATTTCCATAATATTCCAACGTTCAAGCAGAGAGGAAAATGTAGACATATAAATAAACAAACACAAATCCTTTATGAAAATTTAGTAAAGAATCAACTTACAGAGAAGATTGACTTAGCTTGATTAACAATGTGGAAACACATTTACCATTTAGAACTACATAAAATTTTTCAAAATCAATGTCTTTAGCTGCTGGGTAAAGTTTGTAGGCAGATTTCTTATCTGTACATACAGACATAACTTGAAGCAAATTTAAATAATCTGTCAGATGCATATATAAAGCTCTATTGTAATGAGCCATGGTCATAATTACCTTCTCAGAGATTAAGAAATTGCTGTTTCTTCTAAAATTTACAGATTAAATGAACTCCCTTGTTTAGGAAATCAGGTTATTGACCTTATTCTATCCTTGTGAGAAATTCTTCAGGAAAATAATACATATATCTTAAACGTTTTTCTGTAGCCGTACTTAACTTTAGATATATGTTAATAATGTCATTATGAACAAATAAACCACAGTAACCTTTCAAATTTTCTTTGACTTAATTGCTTTATCTTTATATAGTTGGCTAACTTTCTCTGGAACTTTTGATGAAACAATGATTTATTCCTTAGTTGCCTAAAGGCTTGAAAGAATTCATTTAACACCCACAACACTCACTTAAACCCAGAATCTGTCTCATTCATTTTCAAAATTCACTCCATATTTTTAGTAGTAACTCGAGCATGTAACTAAATACTTGATATTGGAAAGAACAGTATCCTTTCTCAATCAAAGCCCACAAATGTGGCACGTTTATTTTTTTATTACAAGTAAAATTAAAGTGAGCAACTTATCCAAAACTACAAAAAAACCTAGTTGAAGTCTTCCATTTGCCACAAAATATATGCATTTCTTTGTTATATACAACAGATATCATTTTATTTCACTTACGTGCATGGCCTGGCTGGAAAGTAAAATGCCTTTTGAAGTCAACCAGAAACAAAACCAAAAAAGAAGCAGTTTTATGATCATCTGCATTCGCTAATTATCTACATGCTGTAGATTATCATGTAGAATCTTAATATCTAGTCCAAAATCTCAGATGGTCTATTATGACTTCTGAAATCATTACTATTTACAAGAGAGAAGGTATTAGAAAAAACGGTAAATAATCAAAAGAATCCATGTGATGACACACTCTTCCCTTCTCCATTCCATACTCCATTTTCATCCATTATGCACGAAATGTCAATACTATACTCATGTAGCTAAATACAGCTTTGTTGAATTTTTACTTATCATTCATACTGCAATACAGAACTAAATATGTGGAATGGAAATTGGTTTGGGCTAACCCTGAAAGCTCTAGATAAAATTAGACAGAATCATGCAGTTGAATTACATACTGAAATTAGTGACAAAAGATTTACTGTGAGATTTAGATATATGTAGTCACAATGGGAAAACAGGACTTTACCTTCATTTTAAGCAAATACTTTACGAACTCTGAGACATGGTAATACCTCCATTGTAAAAAAAAAAAAAAAAAAAAAAAAAAATTATTCATCAACAGTCAGAAAAATGCACTGTTAGAGGAGGCCTAACCAGGTGGGGTATGTGGATGCAGTTTGGACATTGACTCATTTCTTACACAGCTTAATAAAACAGTCCCTTCCTCATGTGTGCAGTGCCTGCCCTCCGAGCTACCTGAGGCCGTGCTCTCGTCTCTTTTCTTGAACCTCTACAGAGCCAGGCTAAGAGGGACCTCCTCTCCTTCCAACGACAGTACCTTCCCTGGGTTCAAGATGGCGGCCATGCCCTGGTCTTCCACAAGACCCGGTGTCTGATGGGTCTGAGCTAGGGCTTCCTCCTCAGCCTCCAAGTCACCCACACTATACAGCGCCAGCAAAACCAGGACTCTCTTTTCATCGTCTGTTGCCCAGGCCTCTTTCTAAAGACAATAATATTCATGAAAGGGTAATGGCATTTTACGACATTACCCAGGATTAATGACTATATTGGACTAAATAGGATTTTCGAAAGGATTTTTTCACTGTCTGTGGAGCCACACTTGGCTCTGTGTTACCAAAATAGTAAAAAACGTTACGCTCTCTAGAATACAGGTAGCATCTTTTCTCGTCACACACAAGCAAGTAATGCCATGGGTTTCATACCTTTGCAGCCACGGACGAGTTCGGCTTCTCCAGCAAGTCCCAGAGTTTCTTTCTTTTATCAGGGCAGCAGGTGTTATCAAACTCTTCTCCTTCTCGCTCTCGCATAGTCTCGGCCTCTCGCCTCAGTTCTTCGTTCATTTGTTCTTTTTTTTGATGATATCTGGCCTGGCAGCAGGACTCTAAGTAGATCTCATCGATCCCCCAGTAATCCAGTTCTTGGCCAAAAGAAAGCGCACACATTTCTTCCATCATGTGGAGCTTCCCTGTCCGGTAGAAATTTAAAATGGAAGTGAAGGCGCCCGGATGCCGATCAAAGAAATACTCATTCTCACTCAGATTATAGTCGTCACACACTTCCAGGAGGCTCTCGTGTGTGTTGCAGTCTCGAAGCTTCCCCAGGCGTGTCCTGGGCAGCCTGTCCAGCGTTCTCCACAGGACTTCGTGGTTGAGGCCCCCCACGTTGATTTTCACTCTCCTGGAGCATGTTTTGCTCCGGATAATGTCCACCGGCTCCGGAGGAAGAGAAAGGGTCGACCTCGAAGTCTTCCTGTTTAAGCCAGGGGGAGCCTTTTCTGCCATTTTGAACTGGACAGAGCCGCAGAGCCACGGTCCTTAAAAAATGAGGTCAGCTGAAGCAATATCCCTCTGGGGCAGGCATTTCCACTGACACGGCTGGAAGAAAGCAACAATCACTTGGTTACTTGCATTTTCCTAGAGTATTTCCTGTTCTATGGGATCATTCTGTTGTTACAACCAGAAGGCACAATATTCATGACTGAATACTTTTGGAGATACACATCTTTGCTTTAGGATGTAAGAAAGGGAGAAAAGACAACACAGAAGGGGTTGCATATTTAATGGTAACTACCTACAGGCTGGCAACTGCCAAACATGTCACGAGAAACCTCTTTCTCAAGCTGCAGACTAAAAGATCCATGTGCTGATCAACTCTTTTTTTTTTTTTTGAGACAGGGCTCTCTCTGTTGCCCGGTCTGGCGTGCAGTGGCACCATCACAGCTCACTGCAGCCTTGATCTCCTGGGCTCAGATGATCCTCTCATCTCAGCCTCCCAGGTAGCTGGGATGTGTCATCACACCTGGCTAGTTCTTGTATTTTTTGTAGAGACAGGGTTTCGCCATGTTGCTTAGGCTGATCTCGAAGCAATCCAGTTGCCTTGGCCTTCCAAAGTACTGGGGTTACAGGGTGAGCCACCATACCCCAACCTAACCAACTCCATCTAGATAAACCACATACATCTTAAGGTAAACTGACCAAGGTGCTGGTCTGACCAACCAGTTCCTGATCATTCTCCATCTCATATTTATGGCTTTCTCCACCCTATACCTAGTCACCATCACTAAATCTCTGCGAAATTCCGATCCTTCCATCCACATCCAAATAAGCACCAAGTCTTACCAGTTATAACTCCTAGCCATTGCTTAAGGCTACCACCAGTGTTATCAAGTTTCCCATTACCACAATGGGGGTTCAAACCTTCAGCATCGCTTGCCTTTTTTTTTTTTTTCTCTTGAGATAGAGTCTCACTCTGTCACCCAGGCTGGAGTGCAGTGGCACAATCTCAGCTCACTGCAATTTCCACTTCCTGGGCTCAAGTGATCCTCCCAACTCAGCTTTCCAAGTAGCTGGGACTATAGGCATGCACCACCATGCCTGACTAATTTTTGTATTTTCTTTTTTTTTTTTGTAAAGACAGGGTCTCACTATATTTCCCAGGCGGGTCTGAAATTCCTAAGCTTAAGCAATCCGCCAGCCTTGGCCTCCCAAAGTGCTGGGATTACAGACATGAGCCACCAGGCCAGCCCTGGTCTACACTTTAAATACAGCCTTAAATTAGATCGGAAACTTGGGTTTTAGCCACCTAAAAACCATTCTCCACATAGCTACTAGAATGCTCTGCTAAGATACAAATTTGACCTTGCCACTCACATGCTTTAAACACTGTAAAATCTCATCATTATTGGAATTTTATTTATGAAGTACTAACAGCACTTTAAAGCCTAATTAGTCCTATTAGGTCTAGCCTCCTCTCCACCTTCACCTCTCACCTTACCCTCATCACTATGTTCCAGCAACCCCAGACTGCACGCAACATTCCCTTTCAAGCTCCTGACCTTTCCATGCTGTGTTCTAGAAAGACCTTCACCTTTCTTGTTTCCTTTTGACTAACCAGTACTTGATGTACAAGAGCCAGCTCAAACCTCACCTCCTTCAGATAACTCTCCATAATATTCCCGCTCTGGGATCATGAAACTTTCACCATACCATTGCAATATACCTTTCCCATAGTGTGCTAGGAGCTCCTGAGGACAAAGGCCATCTTCTCTATTATTATGTTCCCATCACCAAGCACAGTGCTTATGCAATTTAGGAGTTTAATAAACATTAAACAGTTAATCAATTGTTTATTTTCCATAAGAGAGCTGACCAAAGTAATGTATATGGCCATAAAATGCATAAATGGAGTTATTGGGATCACTTACTTAAAATGGGCCTATATTTATATATTATGTGTATATAATATACATCAGAATGTGTGTGTATGTGTTTGTATTTTTCTGCTTCACGACTCTTTTCTCCTGTGTACTAATTCTTTAATGCATTACTGCTCTTATAGTCCCTCTTATTGATCTATTATTCTGATCTGCAGCAGCAGGCATCTTCTTAGTTACCTTTCCCTCTAATGTTTTTGCAGAAAATCATGGAGCTTCAAGCAATTCATCCAAAACACCACCTTTAATGTAAAGCATCATGTTTCAGAGTCAACGACTTATACTAAAGGGAAAAACTATTAGATTTAAGAGGTCTTTATAATTGAAACTCTCTTTTAAGATACACACCAATTTCTGCATGCCTCTGGCTTCTCCATCCTGCAAGTTAAACTTATTTCTCCATCTGGAGGCCAAAGATCCTCTTGAATGAATATAAGTCAAGACAATGAAAAATGTAGATGGACTATATAAGAAGTATTTCAAATGTGGCCATAAAATATACTTGCATCAGGAGTTTTTTTCAACTACAGAGTTACATGAATATTTGAAGCATATATATACACACATTTTCATCACACGACAAAAATGCTTATTTTTACAAAAATAAGATCTATAATGATTTAGAAAGCAACTTAAATTCTCTGGGCTTGACTTTCCTAATCTACAAAATAAAGATAATAGTATCTATTTCATGGACAGTATTATGATGATTAGAGGAGATCATTTAAGTAAAATGCTCACTACATGGAAGTATATCTGAATAGAATAAGAATATTCATATTTCTCCCTAAACTTTTGTTTCTAAGCACTGAAAGAAAACTAAGATTAAAAGCTATATTAGTGTCTATTAAATAAATTGTAGCTTTTAAATTTTTTCTTTACATACATGTTGTCTTCCCATTGAATTATAAAGGCCTGGGATTGTGAATTCAACTTTTCTTGACTGAGCACTGAATCCATGCATAACAGGCACCTCATAGTATCTGTCTTTGGTGCCACTGATGTTCATGTTCAAATTTTATATTCAAGTGACAATGAACTATACATATTTTAAAAATTGAGCAACACTATCAGGATCAGGCCAAAACAGCTGAAAGTATTAGAGATGGGGCAATTCCAGTGATTAATCTGAATGTGGTGTCTCCATTAACTTAGTTGCAGGTACACCGACATCTCCACAATCAATCATCAAATTGTCCACATAAATAACAAAGTGTGAACCGATGCATTTTGAATTTGAATAGAAATAAAAATAAAATAAACATGGTGTTCATTTTGAACACCGTGTCTTATACTAACGTGAAGAAGATAAATCATTTTTGAACTGATTATAATATCAGATAAGAGGTTTTCCAGGAAGAGAGCTAACTCCAGAATGACACAACTATCTCATTTGTTTGTGGTGAAGGGCATGGTGTGAGTTGCCATTTTGAAGAAGTTATTAAAAAAGAAAACACTATATCATAGTCACTTGTAGGTCCCTATTTGTCTTAAACAATTTCACATGCATTGCGTATAGTGGATTTTCCTTTTTGTAGGGTGTGTGTCTCAAGTGAAGAGAGGTCAGGTCATAAGACTCAAATTTCAAAATATCTTCTTCACTGATCAAGAACTTTCTATTATAAGAAATCCAGTGTTGATTACAAGTTCCGCAATAAAAGACAAACTGAAATTCAATGCCCTTTCTTCATAGCAGGGTTAGAGAAACTAAAAGTGAGGAAATGGGTCTGTTGATTTAACTTTCTTAAGACTTAAAGATGATCTGCTCTTATTATTTTTACTGTGGTTAAAAGATTTTTTATTTCCCCCGAGCAGAATGTTCTGCTTGTTACCTGATAAAGAGTGCAGGCTCAAAGGCATAAGTTCCTGAGCAGTTGAATAGCTGTGAATAGTGTTCTAAAAGTTAATCAAGCCTTCAGGATAAGCCTATAATAAATGGAAGCTACAGAGCATAAGCCCTGATCAACAATGCTTTTGAAACTCACTGAACCTTTCTGCCTGCCTGCTTGCCATTCTCCATTCTATCTCTTCTTTCGTGGCTTTCTCTCTTATTTTCCCCCATGTCTGTTATACCACATGCTACCTACCTTTCTTCCTTTTTTCCCCTCCCTTCCTGTCCTGATCCCTAGATCTTTCCATCCTCACAGCCTCTTAAACAAGAACAAAACCAAACTATATGTTTTCAGACCTGTATGTACTTCACTAAGTTTTCTGTAGCCTATTTTAAGATAAAGGCCTCCGGGGCTAGCAAATACCTTGTCTCCTTCAGGAGACATCTAAACAGAGTTGGAGGTCATATGGAATCATAAAAGGGGCCCTGTCTGAGGCTTAGGACACCTCAGTTCCATAGCCCCCTCAATTGCTAATTGAACTTTAATTTCCTTACCCATTAAGTGGTGGCATGTCCATGCCTAAAATTCTTTGATTTCCTATGACACTTGATTAATTTTTTCCTTTCACTGTGATTCTGCTGCTTTTACGTCCCCATGCCCTCCAATCACCATCCTTATTTTAGACGGAAATAAACTTATCATGCTGCCTCACAGTCAATGAAACATTTTCCATGTCCAGTTTCTTGAGGAAGGTGGCTTTCATATTTCATTTCAAGAACCCTTTACTTTAATATTTATCATGGCTTGAAACAACTACCTTCAGAACATCATGAAAGTTTCATTTATTTTATTTAGTGTTTAGTTGATTTTCTATCCTTTAACTTTTCATTTTATGTTTTTTTCTGCCATATTAATTTTACTTCTAGCAATGAATCTGCCAGTTCCCTGTGGGTAAGGGTATTGCGTTTTACTACCCTAGACTGTTCACAAAATTTGCGTTTTTAATTTCAGTAGTTAAAGTAGATATGACCTAACCTTTTCTCACATATAGTTTCATAAGTGAATTTATGTCTATCATAATGATTTTTTACCCCATAAAATTAATCATGTACTTCAATTCTGCATATAAGTATAATATAAAATGCAATAATTCAATGCTTAAATTATGTAGGTATTGAGGAGAGAGATCCAAGATAGCCGATTACTAGCAGCTCAGGATTGTAGCTCCCAGTGAAAGCACAGAGAATGAAAGGACACCACACTTTCAGACGAATTTTTTTTGCTCAGGGACCAGGAGATTCCCAGCAGAGGAGCCCCATGAGTCGCCAGC